GTGGGGAGCGCGCTTCTGGCAGCGCGTGGCGGCGCTCGACGCGGCCGGGGCCCTCGCGGCGCCCGTGAAGGAGGCGCTGCAGGCCAGGGGTTACGTGGGGGCCGCCACCGTCGGCGCGCCCGACGCTGAGAGTCTGCGCCAGCTGCTGCGGAGCATCGAGGCGGCGGCGACCGCAGCGGGCTGCGGCGGCGGAGCGCACGCGGTCGGGTTCGCGGAGACGAGCAACGTGGACTCGTGGGCGCATGGGCCCCCCCCCGACTTCCGCCGCGCGGCGGGAGAAATCTACAGGAACATCCGAGGTGCTGGCACGACCTCGGTCCGCCACTGGCTGCAGGAGTACCACGTGGGCTCGAAGACGACGGAGTCCTGGCAGCACCTGTAGGCCATGGCGTCCTCGGTCGACTTCGCTGTGGGCGGCATTTCCTCGGACCTGGAGCTCTACCAGAAGCTCAACACCGACGATCGGCTCGAGTTGGCTCTTCGACACCTGTCAGCGCATGTATATGAGCAACGAACGAAGGACTACGTCGGCGCGGCACGTCTTCGAGCTGTGGCTGCTCCAGGCAGCGCGATAGATATTGCGCCAAATTGGATGATAGGCGAGGCCACTCTGCACTCCAAGTTGGAACACCAGCGTGATGAGCGGGTGCAGGCCGAGCTTCGTCGTCGAGGCAAGGGCGACAACAAGGTCGACCACAAGACTGACCCCAAGGGCGGCAAGCCCAAGGGGTCGGGCAAGTGACCCGACGACGCCGGGGAGCGGCCTGGGCAGCTGGGGGCCGCTCCACGTCAACCGGATCTACGGCTGCGACTACCAGGGGGAGGACACCGTCGCCGCGGCGCCGCACCCGATGCCGCGCCGCAGCCTTGCTTGCGTGCGCCGCCGCCTTCCAGGCCTGAGCTGACCCGCCGCGGTGAGTTCCCCGACCTACAGGAGGTGGCCGAGGCCTTCGAGCTGCGCTTGACCTGCATGCCGATCCCGCTGCTCCCCATGCCGCCGCCGAGCTCGGCGGCCTCGGGGCGACTGCGGCAGCGGGCAGCGCACAGGAGGGCGATTTGCAAGGCGGCGAATCAGATTATTGAGGGAAGCAACAGAACTCATTCTGGTAACATGCGACGACCAGCGAGTAGCAGAGCGAATGTTGAAGATAGACGAGGCGAAGGCTCTGCCACGGGCCTGGCTCAGCTGCGCGCGGTGCGCCTTGCGCAGGAGTCTGGCCAGGTTCGCCGGCCCGAGGGGGCGACTGGCGCACAGGCGTCGAGGGATCTCCTCAAGCTGGGCGAGGTCTCGTACAAAGGCTGCAAGAGAGTGGCCGTGCATGTGCCTTTTGAGGCTGACCGCATAGACGAGGTGGTCACTCACAAGACGGTCCGCATGCTCGACGCTCTGCCTTCGGACGAGGCCGCCTTCTACCTAGATGAGGACAATGTGATCGAATGGACTGGAAAATCGGAGATTTTAAAAGATGAGTTGGAGCAGCACTTCGGCTTCCTCGGCGGCGACCAGTCGGAGTGGGTCACGTATTTACTTCGCGACGACCTGCCGCCCGGGCTCTGGGTCTTCCGCACTCGAGAGCAGGTCAAGTCGGTCAACGGCGTGAGCGCGGTGCGGAAGAAGGACCCGACCAAGCAGCGCAAGCTGATCATGGCCGTCCCTGCCAACTACGCGCGGTGCGACGTGCGAGGACGCGAGGGCCACGGCCTGGGCGGGGGAGGAGCCTTAAGCATGCTGTGGGCTTCGCACGCCGCCTTGAGCGTTGCCCGCTGTGACGAGTCCAACGCGTTCTCATCCATCGTGACGCCCGAGTGGATGTGGCCCTGGATGGGTACGCCCCCGGTGGCAGCGGGGATGCTGAGGTCGCTCCTGCCGTGCGAGTTGGCAGACGCGCCTGACGACCTGCCGATCTACCCGTGCTACACCCGTCTGCCGATGGGCTCGTCGCACTCGGTGCACACCATGATGTCCATCAACATGCAGGCGCTGGGCCGCTGCTTGGTGAACAGCTCGAAGGTACTGCAACAGCTGGAGGCGCCGCGCCAGGAGCTCGCGGACGTGGTGGACGTGGCCGACGTCGAGTGGGTCCGCCGCCAAGAGGCGCGGCGCGCTGGAGGGCCCGAGGGTGCGGGCTTGTCTGTGACCGAGTTCGTGGACCAGGTCAGGGCCCTGAAGCAGCTCGACTCGAGGGCGATGGTGGTCCTGCACGTCTTCGCGGGCCAGCGCCGACAGGACGACGTGCAGCACTTCATCGAGCAGCTCGGGGACCAGCACGGCGCGAGGGTCTTCGTGTTCAGCGTCGACTTGGCGCACGACCGGAGGTGGGACTTCAGCGACCCGCACACGGTCTCCCTGGACGTCGTGCTGGGCGGGCCGCCGTGCGCGACCTGGAGCCGCGCGCGCTTCCGCCCGGACGGGCCGCCGCCGCTGCGGTCGCGGCGAGAGCTGCTGGGCCTGGGAGGTCCGACTGCAGGCCAGCGGCCAGCAGGCGAGAGTGGCCGAGGCCAACGTGCTTCTGTTCAATGTTCTGGGGCTCTGCGAAGCTGTTCTAGCTCAGGGGGGCGCTTTTTTGGTTGAGCACCCAGCTGACCCGGGCTGCGAGCCATGCCCCTCGATTTGGGTCCTGGATGGAGTTCAGGGGCTCGCCGATAGAGCCAGAGTGTCGGTCGTCGAATTAGATCAGCGTATGTTTGGGGGTGTGGCCCAGAAACCTACAGGTCTCCTTTCCAACCTCCTTGGGATCTCTGAAGGCACACTCAGGTGCGACGGACAACACGAACATGGTAAATCGCATGGCCGAGTGTCTGGTGGAACGTTCGCTACACGCCGACTGCAAACATACCCTCCAGGTTTCTGTCGTTTCCTTGCCCTGTGCGTCGTCAGGACCCCGGTGGCCATGGGCGAGGACGGTCGGGGGCCAGGGGGGTGGAGAAGAACAGCTTCGCGGGGCTCGAGAACTACGAACTGGAGCACGTTGGTCGGCGGCCCCCTAGGTGGCGCGCTGTACGTGCTCAACGAGCTCTACGCCAAGGGGGGCAGGGTCAGGCTGCGTGAGAAGGACGTGGCCAGCTACGTGCACGTGGACGATGGAGTGTGCATATCGACTCACCCTCGAGGTCAGCGTTCGACGAGCGCGACCTGCGACGCGGCCATGGCGAAGCTGGCCGGCGCCTGGGAGGAGGTCGGCTTCGTCGTCCCCGAGCGGGTAGAGGCCAGCGAGCTGACCAAGGTCGTGGGCTACTCCTTCCAGGCCGACCCGCCCGCGCTGGCAGTGGAGCCTCAGAAGGCCGCCCTCCTTCAGGACAGCCTGGGTTGGTTGCTCGAGGTACCGTGGGTAGACATCGAGTTGCTCAGGGGTGTCGTGGGCGTGTGGATCTGGGGCGCGCTGCTCAAGCGGGAGCTGCTCGCCGTGCCCCGCGCCATATTCCAGTTCATGGAGCGCTTCGAGGGGCGAGTGGCCCCATGGTGGCCGTCGGCCCGCCGGGAGGCTCGCGTCATGCAGTGGCTCGTCCCCACCGTGCGCTCGGAGCTCGGGGCGCCAGCCGCGCCGCTGGCGTTCTCGTCGGACGCGGAGGGCGCCAACGCGGTCGACTTCGGCGGGTTCGGGATCGCCGGTAGGGCAGTGGACCAGGAGCTGGCCGAGGAGCTCCTTGCTGGCACTCGCCTGGGCCACGCCGTCGCCCGCCCGGATGGCCGCGCGTCGCACCTGAACCGCCAGGACCGCGAGATCGGCTGCCGCATCCCGGTGTCCAAGGTCCCCCGTCGGCTGCTGGAGTCCGACGCGGACGCCTGGACGGCGCTGGCAGCTGGACGCTGGCAGCGAGCAGATCACATCACCCTGGGAGAGGGAGGGCGGCGCTGACTGTCCTGACGCGCGCGGCCGCCTGCCCCGGCCCCCACGGCTTCCTCATCGCCAACTTAGAAGATAACGAGACCTTGTCGGCCGCGATGGCCACGGGTCGCTCAGCTTCGCCTGCGCTGAATCAACTTCTCAGGCGACGTGCAGGACTGTGTCTAGCTACTGGGATTGGCTTTCCGTTGCCGTGGGTGGACACCAAACACCAAGCTGCTGACTGGCTATCACGATGTCGCGGTCGCCTCTGACTCGCGTGGCTGGGCCGCGGCGGCTCGACGAGCATCACGCCGCCAAGGTGCAGCCGCAGACCCTTGACAACTACAGACGCGCCGCCAAGTTGCTCACCGACTGGGCGGCGTTGCATGGACTGGACCCTCATGGAGCTGAGCAGTGGGGCGATCTGCTGGTAGAATTCAAGGCCGACAACGTGGACCACCTGACGCCGGCGAAGTTCGGCCAGGTGGTCGCTTCAGTGGAATTCTTTTTCCCGCGTTTACGAGGCCCCAGACGCCACGCAGTGCCCCTGAGGCGCTCGCCGGGCAAGTTGCTGGCGTGCCATCTTGCCTCTTGGGGCCGCGGTCGAGTAGGACTGGAATGCGTCCGTCAGAAATGCTGGGTATCTTGGTCGAGCACCTCTCCTTCCCTCACCAGCGTGGTGCCAGCATTGCATCATCACCGCTTCCCATCGCTCTTGGCACTAAGAAAGGTACGAAGTCGAAGCGGGCCCAGGTTGTCATGCTCAATCAGAAGGGTGAGGTTTTGGTTCGGATGTTAGCAGGTCTTGCAGCAGCCACTCCGCCTGGTCAACCCCTCGTCCCGTACTCCCTCGCCCGCTACCGCGCCCTGCTCAAGCAAGCCGAGCAGGCCTTGGGCATGTCTGTGGGCTGGGGCCCGCGCAGCCCGCGCGCCGGTTGGGCGACCGACGCCCGCGCGGAGGGGGTCAGCTTCTCCGAGATCCGCGAGGGCGGCAGGTGGGTGAGCGACAGCAGCCTCCGCATCTACTTAGACGTGCTGGGCGCGAACACCGCCCCCCAACAGTTGCAGCAGCGCGGCCTGTCGGACCAGCTGCGCTGGGTGAACTCCAACTGGCCGGTCTACTTCCACGCTATCTGTCGGACCCCGACTTCGCACTATGGCACCCAAGGGCACCAAGATGATCAACGGCGCGTGGACCAAAGTGGTAGCCGACAGCCGAGTCGCCTCACCCGCGCCCTCGGCGCGCTCTGGCGACAGCTCGTGGAGTAAGAGCTCTCCGCTGTCCACGGCGTCGTCGGCTTTCCACGCGCCAGTGGGACCGGCCGGGGGGCTGGGCCTGCCGATGCTGTCCACGACGCCCGAGGCGGCGCAGGACCTCGCCCGCCGCCTGGAGCTTGAGGCGCACCAGCACCAGGCCGCACAGAAGGCGCCGAGAGCCCAGGTCAACAGGGCGAAGAGGTCTACCAGTCGCTGTGGCACCTTCGTTCGCACCCTGGGCCGATGGGGCTGCGGGCGTCGCTGCAATCTCGTGTCCCAGTGCACGGTGCTGCTGGTCGTGATTGCCTGGCTGTCGGCTTGGCTGGCGCCCTCGCTAGCGCGCAGCGTGGGCGCCGTGGTGAGCCTGTCCGAAGATCTCGCCGACGCCACGGGAGCCATCGCCCAGGTGGCCAAGAATGCCACGCTGCTGGTCTCCGACGTCGCCGTGTCTTCCACCAAGGGCACCATGTCCGTGATGCACGAGGCATGGGCGGGCGTTGACCTCAATGATACCTCGGTCAACGCCTCGGGCGCTCGCTTCCTGGTCATCGGCGGAGTGTCGCAGCAGGAGTTCGAGGCAAGCGAGGTGGCGGCCACGTTACGTCCGCTGCCGCCAGAGCACTCGCAGTGGCTGTGAAAGGCAGCGAGCCGTGCGGGGCCCAGCTCGCCGCGCGTCTCGGCGAGCGACTGCCAGTTCAGGACGGCCTCGTACTTCGACTACTTCGAGTTCGAGGCCCTCATCTTCCCGAGCGGCTACGTGGGGATGCGTTTCGTCTAGACGCGCATGGGCTTCAAGCCGGCGTGGGCCAACCCGCTGTGGGAGCTGCTCGGCGTCGACGTGACCTCCGAGCTGGCCCCCATCGCCGCGCGGACCCGGGGCACGATCGCAGAGGCGCTCGACCTGGACTGGCTCCGCGCGCCGCTCACGGACGATGAGGACGAGGCCAGAGTCACGCCCCCGACGTGGTTTCGCTGGCTGCAGTGGGCCCGCCAGTACTCGTCGTGGGCGCAGATCGCTAGCGGGAGTTGGTGATGGCGGGGGACTTTTCTTTCGGCGGTGCTGCAGTGCGAGGGGCTCCGGAGTACAGCCCTTTCATGCGCGGTCGGAGTTCCCGTGTCAGATCACAAATGGAATTCGGAAGTAAGACCACCACCGCGTTGAAGTTCAGAATTCCTTGCAGCACGTTCCCGGCGAGAGGAGTGCGCCACTCGACTTTCCAAGAAGTTGAGCGGCTTAGGCCGCAGAGAGAAGCTTCAGATATGTTCAGGTGGATACCGCATCTGGTCGTTGCAAAAGGTTGTCACCGTCAATTGGATTTGGCTGCCGCCCGACTCCGTCAGCCTGGGTGGGTCTAGGCGGGCACAAAGTTCCCGATCACGTATTGGGACATTATGAATGAATGAGCTTGAGAATGGAGATTAATGCGCGTGAGCATTTGCCTGTTTGAGCTTGCCGGCAGAAACCTACCCTTTTCAGTCAAAAGGGGTCGGTTTATCGCGTCTCATTTTCCATAGCTGTTTCTGCCCCCCCCCCCCCCCCCATAAACTTCAATAAATGAAACTAGGCAGAATCGTTTAATTATTGAAGCTTCCCTCCCTAGTATCGTGACAAATATCGCATGTCCCGGAACGTTCCGGGCGCCCCCTCAGACTTTCTCAACGGCGTTGGAAATGAGACCATCACCGCGTTCAGTTTCAGAATTCCTTGCAGCACGTCTCTGGCGAATGGTGTGCGCCACTCGACTTTCCAAGGAGTTGAGCGGCTTAGGCCGCAGAGAGAAGCATCATATATGTTCAGGTGGATACCGCATCTGGTCGTTGCAAAAGGTTGTCACCGTCAATTGGATTGGGCTGCCGCCCTACTCCGTCAGCATGGGTGGGTCTGGGTGGGCACAAAGTTCCCGATCACGCATTGGGACACTATATATCTACATATATATGTGTGTATATCTACAAACACACACACCAATGCATATATATATATATATATATATGTATGCACCTGCACGCATGTAACATGTCTCGGAAACTGAATCCCCGACGCCTTCCAAGATTTGACCAGCGCTCCCTGAATCGCCCCGAGGTTCCCGATAACCACCAAGATTGCCGCGCGCCCTCCCTGCGAAAGCAACGACTGGGATCGGCGGCAAAGGCAGCAGCCTTGAAATATCCCGCGCCGCCAGGGGGGGGGGGCCCTCAGGTGGCGTTTGGGGCCGCGGGTGGGCGCCGACAACTATGTCCTTGTTGAGCGCGGAAGTCTGGCCCGGGCCAGAAGCCTCACCGCCGTCGGTGCACTGCGCGAATTTTGCCGCCCCAGCTGACGAGAGCGCAACATGTTTGAATGGCTGCGTCGGGCCAGCCCCTGGGTTGCCATCCAACTTGCCGATGAACTCCTCAGGGATCGTCGTCCACGCCCCCTACTTCCCCGCGCCCCCCCCGCCCTCGCCCTCGGCGCCCACGCCCGCGATGTTCGCCGTGTCCTGCTTCTCCAGGAGGAAGCCCACGACGCCAATCACGAGCTGGCCCTTCAGCGACTCCGTCGCCGACGGGCTCGCCTGCGCCTCCGCGAGCAGTTCTTTCGCGAGCATCAGGGCGCCGCTCGCCCCCTTTTACCGCCTCGCGCTCCTCGAGCTTCGGGGACAGAGCCAAGTCGGGCTCGGCGACGCACCCTGCGAACCAGCCCCTCGCGCAGCCCCGCGCCGCCGCGCGCCGAAACAGCGCGGCATTCACCGCGCGCGACGGCGCGCAATCGATGGGAACTCGAGTTCCGCCAGCCGCTTGAAAAACGCGCCACGGACCGCGCGGTCGGAAGGCGCGCAGAGGTTGGGCGGGGGCGAAAGCCCCCTGATCGAACCGCCGCCGGGCACGCCGCCCCGCTCGATGATGCAGTTAGTCTACCATGTCTGGGACGCCCATGGCTCTCGCGACTTCAACGCATTCTCGGCGACGGCTTTCCAATCGGTTCGCGCGCTCGCGGTAGACGCCGCGCCAGTGGCGCTCAATGGTTTCCGGCGCCAAGTCTCGCCTGAACCTCCCTGCCTGCGCCGCCCCCGCCGCTGCTGCGACTGCGCGCCGACGGCCGCCGCGGCAGTCGCCGCCGCCGCCGCCCGCGCCGACCGTCGCCGCAAGCAAACGGCAAAAACGGCGACGCAGACGAACGCGAACGACAGGGGGCTGAGGGGACGCGGGGAAGGGAGGTCGGAGGTGGACGGGCGTGGACGGGGGAGGAAAGATTCGGGGGGGGGCCTTCGGACGCCTGCCGCGCCGCGCTCAGGGAGTCGCCGACGAAATCGGCAACCGCGGGCAACGCAGCATGGGCGGAAACGGAAAAATTGACTCCGATGACGATCGCACCCCTGATCAGACAACCCTGTTTCAGTAGCACGCGACGTCGGGGTCGCCCTTCGCCACGTTCTCGCACTCGCTCTCGACGCGGTCGCGGGCGCGGGCAAGACCGCGAAGTGCGCGCGTTGACCCCGCGCCCCTAGTCGGATGTCATCCTCTTGATACTTTGCGAACGCAAAGGTTTTTGCTTCGCACACTGCTTCACCCTGTACTTGGCGCACTCTTTGGTGCAGGGGTTGTCTTCGCCCGCGCGACGCCGCTGGATGCGTTCGCCTCCGCTCTTCATGCGCGACTGCCGGTGCTGCTGGAGCGCCTCAAAGACGCGGCCCTCGAGCTCCTCGCTGCCTGCTGCCCCGTTGCCGCCGACGTCGTGCTCGTCGCGCTGCGCTGCGAGCTCGCGGCAGCACGCCGCGGCCTTAAACTGATCGGCGGCTTCGCTCCAGAGCGCATGACTGAACAAGCCGAATCGAAATGCGAACGCGCAAATCTGGAATCGCAAACGCCGCAATAAAAAAATGGCACATGGATGTTCGCATTGCGCAGGATCCCATCAAGTCGATTAGCGATGATATTCATGGATTGCAATAGAAAACCTGACAATATTACTTCCGAAAATCGGAACGGCGGTCAACGATGCACGGAGGCCAATCATTCGATTATCGTTGTCTTGCAAACGCACGCACACGCATGCTACAATCGCTCGTGAGACGATGGTGCGATGTACGTATAATGCGAAACTGTAGACATACTACTGTAGTGCCTTTGCGCACGCACGCTCTGTATGCATGTACGTGCACACACGAAATGGAGTTACATCGGGAATAGGTCAGCGACGACGCAACTCTCCTATAACCTCAATATCTACGCATCTGCTTACTAAGTCATGCGGAGGTTAGCAACCTTTACGATTGAATTGGACATGGCATGCCGAAGTTGCTGCAATGTCGCGAGAGGGATGGCAGGAGTTGCGAAGAATTTGCATCGCGGCGGATAACGAAACAAGGGCCAGTTCCGAGGATCTGCCGGCGCGCGCCAGGGGCGCGCCCGGCCTGTCCCAGTCCGCGGCTCTCGATCGAGACATCCTCGCAAATTTCAACCTGGGCGCGCCCCAATCTGGGCCCCCCGCTCGAAAAACCCTCGCGAAGTTGCCAAATCGACCCCCGATGGGGAACCCCCGAGGGCGAAGGCGAAGACGAGCAGGGAGGACGACGCAGGAGGACAGACGGGGGGGGAAGGAGGACGGGGGGAGGAGGAGAAGGGGGAGGAGGAAAGAAGGAAAAAGGAGAGAGGGGGAGGAGGGGGGGGGGGGGGGGAAGGGGAGGAAGGGGAGGGAGAGGAGGAAGAGGAGGAGGAGGAGGAGGAGAATGAGGAGGAGGAGGAGGAATAAGAAAATGGCGAGGAGGAGGAGGAGAAGGAGGAGGAGGAAGAGGAGGAAGAGGACGAGGAGGACGAGGGGGAGGTGGAGGAGGGGGGGGGGGATGGGGGGGGGAGGAGGAGGAAGAGGGGGGGGGGGGGGCAGAGGGGGGGAGACAAGCTAGGCGCGCTAGCGCCACATCTGACATCCTACCCTCCCCCCCCCCGCCCCTTGCCATAGCGCAGATCCCCTCTCTTCTCGCTCAATCGGATGTCGATCAGGGCAATGACCCCGAAAGGGTGCGCGATGCATTGTAGAGCACGGCGTGGCACGGCGTAGAAGAGCACCGCCAAGCGTAGCATCAACCGAGCATTGCATTGCATGCCGCGGCACGGCAAGGGAAATGACGCCAGCGCTGCAGCGGGAGCACGAGTCGAAACGAGCGGAGGCGCGGAAATTAAGCCAGCGCTGCAGCGGGAGCGCGATTCGGAACGAGCGGAAGCACGGAAATGAAGCCAGCGCTGCAACGGGAGCACGATTCGGAACGAGCGGGGCCCGAAAATGAGGCTGGCGCCTCAGCGAGGGCAGCATTGTGAACACAAAATGC